CCCTTCATAAAATGGCTTTAATAAATCTGATGTGTGATGACCTTGAAGTGGCTATCTTAAGCAGAAAAGTGTGTTTTCGTGCTCAGACACACACGAAACGGCTTTCTAATGGCTTTGTACGTTCTTCTAGAGCGCTTCCACGCGTATAGCTCTCTTAAAGTGCTCCGCATAGTCCGTTAAGATGAGCTCAGTAAGCTTGCAAGAAAAAGATGCTTTTGAGTTCTATCCCTCAGTTTTAAATTTTATTTAAAGTGGCTTTTATCCTATTGGATTTATTGAGAAGAAATTCCATTTTCACCTTGTTTAAATGCGACTCTAATTAGCATATCGATATTGGTTTCATTGGGCTTGAGAGTCAATACATCAACATTGACACACTGAATAGTCAATACCTGGTATTTTAAGGTATATTTACTTTGCAACTGATTTCCAAAGTGTCGTCTTGCTTTTATTTCATTATCCTTTTCTCGTGCCAAGGAAAGCTCGTCCACTTGTCAAAAGATTGCATGACATATCATACAAATTCAGAATGTTCATCCTCGAGAGGGCTTGCTTTTTAATCTAAGCGCATCCCTCGCTATTTTTACGCACATTGGCATTGTGGTTGCCAATGTGTCTTTTCATCTCCCTCGCCATATACTACTACCAAAAAATGAGCTTAATTATTACCTGCACTGAATGAATTGTCTTTGTTATTATGCTTCAATACTTAGGCCTCCCACTTAATGACTTAACTCCTTGTCATTTGTTGAAAGGAATTGCGTTCAATACCCTTCTTGGGGTAGACGAAGTACAACCTAGAGTTTCGTGGTTTTTTGGATAAGGTGTCTAAGTCCACAGGGTTAATTCTATAGTCTCTCCGTATCTGCAATCTAACTTTGATATGTGCAAGTCGATGGCGTAGTAGTCCGTGAGTTCGACATCTGTCTGTGCAAACCCAATGAACGCACTACCAGGTCGCATTGGGTAATCCTGTCAAGCATATATACACGTATTAGTAAGATTTGAATGTACCAAGGACGCCTTATAGTGATACTCTCTCTCTCTCTCTCTCTCTCTGCTCAAGACGAGCGTTGGAAAGTGTTCTTTTGGGTGCACTTGGAAGTTACTAAGAAGATCGTTCAATTCGCACTGCTGCCGTTGCAATATTTCGCATTCAAATAGGAGCATGCCATGATCAGTAAAGAAAGTGTATTGCAGTTAGAACGCAATTTATTTATACAAAGTAGTTTTCCATATGAATTCTGCTCACATTCTTTTTCGATCATAGGGCGCAGCACTTGCCCGTGTTTCGGTTGGTCATTCCTTTCACCAGACAATTCGTAAACAACCATTTATGCATTGTGAAAGCATATTTCATTCACTGCTGTAAATTTATACCTACGGCTGCAAATTTTCATTTCCCAATGATTCATATAACCACTATCACATGACAATAGGGCTTCCCCTTTTTTTTAATCTTCCTTCTGGATTCCTACTTTTCTCCCTGGGGGGATCTATTTGTGGCTGACGACTTAAAGCCTTGATTCAAGCATAGTTGTTCACTAATTGTTGGGCCTAATCAGCTTGTAATTTCTTCAGGATTGTGATTGCAGTTGACATCTTTCTAAGCTTAATCAAAATTTCCTTAATTACTAATCTATCGGCAAGATTCTATCAGCCGTCTTTAAACAAGGCCACATAATTAATAACATGCATCATCTAAAGAGGCATTGAACTGCATCAAAGAGGCCACATTGGAAGCTCGATCAAATTTGGCTTGGCGAAATTCTCATTGGAAATAAAAGACCAAAAGTGTATTGGAGGGCGAAGGTGCGCTGAAAAGCGCTAAGGCCTTGGAGAGCATGACTTGGTGGGAATTGAAAGCTCAGAGAACGAATTACGACACACTGGGTGATGAACAGTATTGGCACTTGACGATTTTATTGCATGTCCTTGTGCTAGAATACGGCATTCCATTCAAGTCTACTGGAAGGCATATTCTTTGGAACATCATACTATAGCCACTCTTTAATCAATGTTCCCTATTGTAATTTGAAATAGAATAGATCAGATTGGTTTTGAATTAGTGCACATGCTGATCAAACTACTTCTCGTTATAACGTTGTGCACCCTGGGCAACGTATACTCACACGGCAAAAAAGTCCGTGCACCCTGGGCAACGTATACTCATACGGCAAAAAGTCTTTTAACTGCACCCTGGGGAACGTATACTCATACGGCAAAAAAGTCTAACACCCTGGGCAACGTATACTCATGCGACAAAAAAGTCTAAACTGGTGCACCCTGGGCAACGTATACACGGCAAAAGAGTCCGTGGTGCACCCTGGGCAACGTACACTCACACCTTACCTCCACGTGGTGCACCCTGGGCAACGTATTCTCATTCGGCTACCTCCACGTGGTGCACCCTGGGCAATGTATACTCATACACCTCCACGTGGTGCACCCTGGGCAACGTATACTCACGATAGACTTACCTCCAGGTGGTGCACCCTGGACAACGTATACTCAAACGGCACGTGGTGCACCCTGGGCAACGTATACTCATACGGCTCCACGTGGTGCACCCTGGGCAACGTTTACTCATACGGCTCCACGTGGTGCACCCTGGGCAACGTATACTCATAAGGCACCACGTGGTGCACCCTGGGCAACGTGTACTCATACGGCAAGTAAGTCTATCACGTGGTGCACCCTGGGCAACGTATACTCATACGGCAAACAAACTGGTGCACCCTGGGCAACGTATACACGGCAAAAGAGTCCGTGGTGCACCCTGGGCAACGTACACTCACACCTTACCTCCACGTGGTGCACCCTGGGCAACGTATTCTCATTCGGCTTACCTCCGTGGTGCACCCTGGGCAATGTATATTTAGACTTACCTCCACGTGGTGCACCCTGGGCACCGTATACTCATACGGCAAAAAAGTCTATTAACCGGCAGTTGTTATACTCATACGGCAAAATAGTCTATTAACTGGCAGTTGAATTCTAAATTCAAATTATCATGACCTCACCGACGCCTGCCATTTGATATATATAAATAAACTTCTCGTTGTATATATATATATGTTTAAGATTTAAACAAATTGTTAGAAGAAGTAAATGAGAAATTAAATGTAACTGGTATACATTGAGCTATTTTGTAATTGAGGCTGTATAGCTTGTTTTATGAAAGTATTTCAAGCTAAAAATCACACCTGATTTTATCTAAATTTCTGTTTGCAATGATCGGGACTCACTGATTAGCCAATTAGGGTAGAGCGCAGATCAAATACAACCACGTTAGTTGTCGTTTTGGCAGATCGTTTTGAGTTGTGGGGTGTTGGTAAATAACTCCTTGATAGAAACTAGCATTTACTACTTGAACTGGCATTGTTTTGTTTTAAGGTAAAGCGTCTAGTAACTTCTGTTTAAGTGTGAAAAAGAATTGCTGTTTTTATTCAAAATTTAATTTGCTTCAATTAAAAGCAGAACAGTTGAATGCATCAGCTGTTTAAAGATTACCGAGGAGAGCTCTTATTCCTGAAAAGCGTATTTGAACATTGGCAAGTGACAGAAATGTCATTATTGAGGAGAAAGTACAATTCTTCCGATTTTCTAGAATGATTCATTGCTTTCTGGTTGGGTACATATCGAGTAAATCCAGAGCCTGCTGATTAAATTGGATTACTTACCTCATTTGTCGTAACCCTGGCAACCAGTAACACTTAGCTTGGGCTAGTGTTGATGATCTGCTATGAATCAATCAATCAATCTTTTCTTGTCAATTTCCTATCGTAGGTTCGGTTATCTAATTGATCTTGAAATTTATTACTCTTGGGCATTCGCTTCCGTTACTTCTTCCTCGTGTTCACTTTTCTGTCTTAAATTGATTATGCAATCTATTAATTTTTGGGTGGAAAAGTCCTATATTCCAATTTTTAGAAAACTTGCTTATTGCCACTAGTTAAGGCCACAACCCCTACCACGTTTTGCCCTTGAAGTCATGCTCTAACTTGATCGGTAAACTTATTTTAGATCAATTTTCTGCCTTCTTCTTTCCAGATGAAGGAATTCTGAAGATGTATCTCCGTGGCCGTTGTCTCAATCTCTACGCTCCAACAGATATTGCCACCGACTACACCTTCTCCGCTACCCTCCCTGAACCGGAAGAGCAACTCAAGTTGGAATGGGTGTATCCTTCTTACTTGCAATCTTGAAAGTCTGCACTATTTGAAGTCGAAATTAGGGCTGAAATACTTGCAGTCGATCAATGTCTTTGTAACATATACATGGACCATTTTAGTAAAAACGATAGTATGAAATACGAAAAGGAGCGACAGACACCCACAGCTGAGAGGATTCAATTTGGGGAGGTTGGGGGGGGGGGGATTTTGTTTCAGCTATCCGGTCTTTTAGGCACTGGAAGTCCTAGCCAATCATTACACTCAAAGGCGTCGTTGATATAATCAATATGCTTCATCTCATTTTTTGATTAATTGGGCTTAAGTGACTCATTTCCCTTTGTGTATCGATTAGCGATCACCTGATTGTCTTTATCGATGTGTAGGTCAGCATTCTTGTCACTTTATATTTATTGATACAGAAAGATTGCATAGGAAATTTTTTTGACTAAAGAAGATCTTATATAAGCATTGCAAGGTTGAATGGAGAGTCATTAAGGGGTGCTAGATTAAGAGGAAACGATCGTCCGGCCATGGTTTTTTTTCTGCTCGGCTTATTTCCTTAATTCACAATTGATGCGGAGTAGATATGGATATCGAGGGAAAGACTGTAGGAATAATGTGTACCTCCTCCCCACGGGAGAGATCATCTACTTCGTTGCAGCTGTGGTGGTCCTCTATCACCTGGAGCAGCACAGTCAACGACACTACTTGGAACACAACGATGCCATCAAATGGTGAGCAAGCTTTATTTGTTTATGCCAATCTACATCAT